TTACAGCTTCCCCTCCACCTGCTCATGGCTAAAAACCGTTAGATTGCATTCCTAAAGGTAACCACCAAGGTCTACTCCCTTATTTGGCCACTTTCTCCCCCTGAGGCTGACGACCAAGGTCCAGCTATAAACATATTGAAGTCCAGCAATCAAAAGCCCCCTTTTGGCTACCCTAAAAATGACACCCCCAGTTAAAATTAAACACCTCATCCTAACACGGGGTTTCCCCCTTTACCTTTATAAACTGCCGTTTACCACCGGGCCACCTCTGTCTCCTGTCTCTTCTCTATTCAGAGGTCAGTCCTTTGTCCCCCTTGGGGACAAATCCTCCTTCCCCGTCTCCCTTGTTCCCTTGCCCCTGCCCCTCATCTTCTATCTCCCATTATAATCATTTATTCCCTGACCTCTGTCCCTCTGGAACAAATAAATCCCCATTTTTTGTTGAGAACTTGGTCTTGGGATGTCCTGTGTCGATTAAGGTCCTTTAGATTTTTAATTTTTTAATTTTATTTATTAGCATTGTATGTGCAGTGGTGTGTGTGTGTGTGTGTGTGTGTGTGTGTGTGTGTGTGTGTGTGTGGGGGGGATAATGACACAGGTGAGGGGGTGAGAGGACATTTTGTGGGGTCACGCTTTCCCTGGGTGGGTTTTGGATAGCTCCGCTCCACTAATAATATGCCTTAGAAATTCATTTACTCTTATTCCCACATAGGAGAGGTCTTGTGGGTCACAGCTGTACTGCCTTTAATAATTTATATCTATTTTATTATTTTATGGGAAATTTGTGCTTGGCCCAGATATGTGTCAGTGTAGCACACGTCTGTGTGGTGCCCACAGAGGCCAGAAAAGGGTGCTGATTCCCGGAGACTGGAGTTACAGACAGTTGTGAGCCACTGTGTGGATGCTGGGGATGGAACCTGGTACTTCTTTGAGATCAGCAAAGCGCTTTTAACTGCTGAGCTGTCTCCTCTTTTCCCACCTTAGCTTTTGAGTCGGGGTCTCTCATGGAACCTGGAGCTTACCAATAAGCAAGAGTGGGTAGCCTGTACACTCCTGGGATTCCTACCTGTATGTAGGTGCTGGAGATCTAAACTCAAGCCAGCGCTTTACCAATGGAGCCATTCCCTCAGCTATGGATTCTTGAAGTCAGGGGTGAGGTTAGGGGGGAAAGCCTCTTTAGTTGTCTCAACTCCCATTTTGGCTTTCCTTTCTCATTCTGCCTCACAATTATTCACAGCTATACATGGGCTTCCCATTCTGTTTCAAGGGTCTTCAGAGAAGTGTCGATGATAAGGATATCCAAGAGCCAAAGAATGCAGCCAGGCGGTGGTGGTGCACGCCTTTAGATCCAGCACTTGGGAGACAGAGGCAGGTGGCTCTCTGAGTTCAAGGCCAGCGCCTGGTCTATAGAGTGAGTTCCAGGAAAGCCAGAGCCACAAACAGAAACCAATCTTGAAAAACCAAAGAGCCAAAGAGTGCAGTCAAGTTTGAGGGTGTGTGTGACAATCCACACACTGCAATACATTCTCTCTCTCTCTCTCTCTCTCTCTCTCTCTCTCTCTCTCTCTCTCT